TTTGCAGTACAGTTACTTAATTTTTACCAAATGTGCTTTCTGCCACGCTTTAGTTGAACTACATATTTATTTGATATTTCGCTGGCAAAGTTTAAAAGAGCCTCCAAAATACCCATCTGCTTCTGCTACGCATGACCTTACCAGTCTCACCTCCGACACACTGCAATGTTTTTAGGGAATGATAGCACTGCACAGATGTGATTTATTCACAGATTGTGGGTGACTTTCTGCTAATTTACGGGGAGAAAGCACAACTTTCCACTGGAGCGTGAAGCTGACCCACAGAACAAACCTGCCTGCACAGAGAGGGACAGAAAATCTCCTTCCTTGAGGCAAACACAGAATCACAGGGTGGTTTTAAAAGGGACAATAAAGACCATCCTATTTCGCAGGGACACCTTCCACTATCCCAGGTTGCCCCAAGCTGTGTCCAGCCTGGCCTTGGACACTTCCAGGGATGGGTAAAGTTGCTCATGAGTAACATAAAGTTGTCAAAACCTGGTTGCAGAACAGTCTTCCTAACCTTCAGTAAACCAAAAGGAAGAGGAAGCTCAAAACCTTGAGGCTTAAATAATATGAAGTTGACACTTCTTACCCTTTTGGATTTTGAGCCTTTATTTCCTCCAGCTCTTCCCTTTGTTCCCTCTGTATCAAAAGGGAGGGCTGAGATTCCTGTCTTGAAGTTGTTTCTGTGGGTTGCATCAGCTTTGCAAAACACTGGGAGAGACCCAGGAGTCCAACATGCCAAAAGAGTTATTTAGGGGGTGATGGAGGTGACCTTCCCAATTTGCCCAAAGGTGGGACAGGAGGATGAGCATCCTGCACCTCCTGGCATGCAGAGGGGGGCTCTGTGTGTGTGTCAACACTTGAGCATCAAGGAAACAAGGAGACATGGCCAGTCAGGTGTGGAGACAGCTGGGAGAGCAGAGAGCAGCGAAACAGGGATGCCAGGAGTGCAGGAGTGGTGGAAAAGCAAGTGCAAGCCTGGAAATGAGAGGAGAGGGCTGCAAAGGATCAGAGAGAGAGGCAGGGAGAATGAGAAAGGAGTGAAAGAATTATCTCCATCCCTGCAAAGAGTTCCAGGGAGTTTATTAGCTGGGAAGAGAAAGAAATTCAGACCTCATTAGGTGAGGGAGGGGAACCCAAGGAAGCTCAGGCATGTGTGATGAGGAGCAGGGAAGATGCAGAGAAGCTGCAGCAGAGACCCTCCTGCTCCCCCAGCATTTCCCATCTGCTCCTCATCCCCTGAGATCAGCATGTGAGGCACAGGGCTCCTCTGCACAGAGAAACAAAAAAAGGAGCAAGAAACAGTCCCAGCCTCCAAAGCACTGACATGAGAAATGTGGAGAGGAGCTGTTTACAGGGCATGTAGTGAGAGGGCAGGGGGAGAATGGCTTCAGACAAAGTGAGTAGGTTTAAATGGGATATTAGGAATAAATTATTGGCTGTGGGGTTGATGAACACTGGCACAGGCTGCCCAGAGAAGCTGTGGCTGCCCCAACCCTGGAAAGTCCAAGGTCGGACTGGATGGGGCTTGGAGCAAGCTGGGATAGTGGCTGTAGCTCCCTCAGGGTGTTTGTGAAGGTTGGAGCTAAAGGATGATCTCCTGATCGATCCTGACAGATCCCATGTGTGCAACAACCCTTCCCTGCACTGCCAACAGAGACTTGAAACACATTCACACCTAAAACACAGAGATGTCCACAACTCTGGGAAATGATGGGACCTTTGTACACTCTGTCTCTGGGTTTCAGTGACAAATCTCCTCCCTCTCTTTCAATCACTGTCTGTATAAAATATGTATTTCTAGATAATGGTGAAAATTCTGCTCCTCAGAGCACTGCACATCTGATTGAGTGGGCAAATGCTGCTTGTCACCTCTCAAGTGTCCAGAGGAACTGGACACTGTATCAGCCACAGACCACAAGGCTGAGCTGGGTTCCATCTCCCTTGGAGCCCAGGGAGTTCAGCTCCAGAGGAAAACCCCCATGTGCAAACCAAGGCCACCCAAATTCACTGGGGAAAATGCTCCCATGCAGAAGTTGACGTTTAAAAGGCCAGGGGATTATTTTGGCAGCATAAGAAAGACGTTCCTTGTATCCAGATTTACAGTGACAGCTCTTTTTAGGTGTTCCAAGTTAAAGGGTGCCTTGCTGAGGTGTCCAGAGCTGTGGTAAGACTGTGACAAGCTGGAAAAATTTTCCTTAACACTGGGGTTCCCATTCTTGTGGGGGACTGGTGAGAGGTGGAGCCGAGTCTGGCAAAACCATAAGGTTTGGAGCACAAGTCCTGTGAGGAGTGGCTGAGAGAGCTGGAGCAGTTTAGCCTGGAGAAAAGGAGGATCAGTGCTCTGCACAACTCCCTGAAAAGAGGCTGTTGTGAGGTGGGGGTCGGAGTCTTCTCCCAAGCAACCACCAACAGGACAAGAGCAAATGGCCTCAAGCTGCACCAGGGGAGGCTCAGGGAGGCTCAGGAAGGATGTTAGGAACAATTTCACCAGTGACAGAGTGGTGAAGCATTGGAAGAGGCTGCCCAGGGCAGTGGTGGGGTCACCATCCCCACAAGTATTCAAAACACAAGTGGCACCTCAGAATATGGTTTAGTGAGTACAGGAGTATTTGCCCAGAGGTTGGAGTTGATGGCCTTAGAGGCCTTTCCCAACCTTAACGATTTTGTGAGTCCATGAAAACAGCTTTTAGTAACTACACAGGTAATAACAGAACCACTAATATCTCTGGGGCACAGACAGGGCTGAGCTCAGCAGGCAGAGGGGGGAGAAACCTCCTCCTTCCCCAGGGATGGCACAAGCCCTGGTGCCTATCTGTAAAAAGGTCAGGTTAAGTCATCACCCCCCTGTCCCTCATCTCCAGAGATCTCCCAGTACCAAGGTGGGCACTGAAAACCTCTGGTAAGTCAGATCTTCACCCTTTTCTAAAAGATCTGTACATGGCTTGTAGAGTGGGTGGGGTGTTTGCTCCCCAAGGGCAGCCTGCTCATAATCCTGCCTCCAGCAAAGGCAATCCCCTGCACCCACTCACCGAGGCTCTACAAATACAAATTTATCCAAGCATTAAAGTGTGTTCCATCATGAGCACACAGGTAGTGACTGCACTGCTGAGATGGCAGCGCTGTCACTCACATCGCCCGCCTCAGATAAAACCAGATTTGGGCAAAGGCTGATGTAGCGCTGAGTGTTTCACATCAGACTTTAAATAACTCCAGTCCTTGCCATTTTCACCAGCCTCTCTCACAGTGACACCCATGGGCGTCAGAGGTGGGTGGGAGGAGATGATTGATAAATCACGGGGGGCTCAGAGCTCCTGAGCTTTCTGCAGGGCTTGGGGTCCTAAAAACACCAGCCCTGTCTTGTGCTTTGGAACAGCCAAGCACAAAATTAATCTGCTCATGCTGTAATGGTCAGGGAAGTGCAGGTAGTCAGTGGACCAGTAAGAGTAAGTTTTTGGAACTCTGTGGAGGAAAAACTAATTGTTCCTCTTGTTCCAGATTTCATGCTTTAAGGTGTGAGGGAGTGAACATTGCTGTCCCACTGACATCTCCCCCAGAGCTTTGAGACAGCCCCTGGGAGTCTCTGTAAATCTGAAGGGCTGTGAAAAGACAGCAGTGGTGCCTGAGGTGACCTCAAATGGACAAAAAGGACGTGAAAACAGTGGGTTGGTTATGGGTGCACTCATTGTTCTCCTCCAAGGCTTTGACCCTCAAGGAGCCCCATTCTGTGCAGAAGGAAAAAGAAAGGACCCAGACAGCAAAAGTATGAGGAAAAGGAATGGTGTCATGCTCAAAGCCTTGCAGGAGCTCAGGCATCACCTGCCTCCAGCTTCTCACCCCATCCCAAAAAGTGACTGGAATTGTTTTCACTTAAGGTGAAGTGAAATCCCATCCTTGCCCAGCATGGAGCAGATGAGAAGGAATCCCAGCTCTGTCATCCTGTCCTTTCTCCTGAGTTATGGTATCTCTCAGCTTCTTTAGTCAGGAGGAATTTGCAGAGTTGCTCCCCTCACCACACCAAATTTTAGGTATGAATATGCACAGTAGAGGGAAATGGTTGGAGACATCACAAACCACTTTATTTTAAGTGGTGCAGGCAGAAGAAATGACAGTCGTAGATTAAAAAAATATAACCAGTAATACTCGTTTAATAAACCATAGAACAATTATGGGTGACCATGTCCCACTCAGACTGGTGGCCTCCACTGAAGTGGCACTGCAGGGCAGCTGCCATCACCCTATCACAATCCCTCATTGCTCCCCTTCTTTTTGTGGATGTAAAGCTCCTCATGAGCATCTGTGAATCAACCAGGTATGACAGCTCAAGTAATCCTGCACACCCACAGGACCAAGTACAAACAGTGCATTTTTTCATATAAAAGTAGTTCCTACCCCCACCCCAAGCAGCAAACTTCCCAAGGCCAAGACTTCCACTGAAATTCCAGCTGGAATTCCATGCTGGGTACCCAGACTGGTCCTTCCCTGGAATCCAGCTGCCAACATTTTCAGTCATAATGCTGATAACACAACAGGAGCACCACACCAACCCTGGCCTGCACCCCTGGCAGGCAGCGTCCTCCACTCTTGCCTACTGTGTCCCAAAGAGGTTCCAGCCTCTCCAAAAACTCCACTTAGAGCCAAACAATCCAGTGCTGCACCTTCCTGTGTCTGCAGCAGATGCAGACACAATTTGGGTCAGGGTGGAGAACAAAGCAGCAGTAAATCCTTGTCCTGCAGCCAGCAGGACAAAGGAACTCTGGGGGTGGTCCCTGCCCCCTGAGTTCTGTGCCCCTGGCCCCTCAATACTGCAAAAGTATATAAATGCCATGGGTTTATGAGCATAAAAATCCTGAGGTCCACAACGGGGCACATCCTTGTAGGAACTGGGGTCACGGCCAGAATTCATGAGCAGCCCTGATGTCCACAGCATGATGGAGCCAAAAGGTTTATAAAGCACCACGTTTATAAAGGTTTATAAAGCTGGAGTTCCTTACCTGCTTCTCAGACATGATGTAGAGGTGTTCGTGATCCACGGAGAAGGCCATGTCCCGGAGGATGGGGCCAGTGTCCACCACCTGCACGATCTCGTACTCCAGCGTGTTCTTGGTGGTGCCATCCACACGGATCTGTGCAGCAACAACAAAAGCAGAGGGAGAACATGAGGATTTTCCCTCCTTCCGCTGAAAACAAACAGTTACAGAAGCACAGAGTGATTTGTGTTGAAATGAACTTTAAAGACAGTTTCATTCCAAACCCCCTGCCATGGGCAGGGGCACCTTCCACTATCCCAGGGTGCTCCAAGCCCTGTCCACCCTGGTCTTGGACACTTCCAGGGATCCTGGGGCAGCCACAGCTTCTCTGGGAAACCTCTCTTACCACCCTTACAGTAATATATATGTGTATTTATAATATATATACAAAATAATGATTGGACAAATGTATTGTGGCCCAGATCTTTCAGACTACAACCACTGTCAACAAAAAGTGAACTTATCCCAGCCTCCTCACCAAAAGGATAAAGCAGATCTCATCATTTCTGCTGGTCCCATAAACACAAGAGCACAGTAAGAACAATGCAGAGCCTGCTGGCTTTTATCTGGCACTGTCACTGTGCTCCTGTCACCGCCTGGACAAATCTACCACGCTCAAAATGATGGCAAGGAGGGAAAGATCTGTGGTGGTGATGAGCAGAAGATAAAAAACCACACAAATCTGCAGGACTGACTCACTCGAATGCTACTCAGATAATATTATTGCTCTTATTGCTAATGTTCCACGGGGCAATTTATTACTGCAGAGTGTTCAGTGCAACACAGACTATTTCTCTTGCTGATTGCATATATCAGGTATTGAAATCAGTCCTGCACCAACGTGGCACCTTATGATTCCAGACACATCTCATAACAGGGTGTCACTCAGGGACATCAATAACTGGGATTATGAGGAGGAACCAGACACACAGTCCCAGTCTATCCCTGACAATGATCCAGTGATACAGAAGAAAATGTGGAAAGAAACAGACTTTTCTTTACCTGCTTAAAAACCATTTCTAGAGTTTGGGCTCAAAAGAAGCTGGAGAAGGTTTGCAATCTCTTTCAATATGGAACAAGTCATGATAAAATAACTATCCCAGGAGTTCTCCTGAATCTTGTGGGGCTCTGTACAGCAGCAAACCACACAGTCATGTTTCAGACATGCATCCACATTCCTTATCTCCCTCTGTTTCCCATGTGTTGCCTTTCACTTTCTGAAAATGTTCTATCCTGCTGCAACACAAACACCACAGTACCTTTCCCTAAAAGAAATAAAGATGTAGGAGATCTTCATCATGCTCCACATTATAATCTCCATGCCTTCCTGACCAAAGATTCCCAGTTGGATAGCTGAGCAAAAAGGACCCTTCCCATCCAAAGGAAATAACGAGCTGTGGAGAACTTATGGTGTCAAGACCTGCTCCCACTGTTCCCTGGCACAGCCCTCGAGCTTGTTCCTTCTGTATCAACCTCTCAGCCAAGAAAATGAGCCTGAATCATCTTCTGTATTGGAAAGTCGAAGAGAAGGAATGAGAAAGAGTCTGGAAAGTCTGTATGAGTAAAGGACAGCAGATCTTTGTCCTTCCTTGATGTACTCACCTGCTGTGGGACAATAAAGGAATATGATTTCCCCAGGAAAGATCAGGAAAATGAAACAGCAAGGAGTTAGAGGGGCTCTCTGTGCCAGCAAAGGGTGTGGAGGGTGCTCAGGGATGCTCAGATCTTACATGTTATCCATCAGACTCTACAGAAGTGGGAGCACGTGCAGGCCTTGTCTGCTGGGCTGGTCCAATGACATGGGAGTGTCAAATGCAGTTCATTTGTCATCGTGATGGAGCTGCTGATGATAGCAACACACATCAGCACATCAGTCCAACATCAGCACAGAGAGAGGTCAGGGCCTGAAGCCCAGCACTGAGCATCCCTGACACACAGAGAATTCAGAGTCTGAAGCCCAGCACTGAGCATCCCTGACACACAGAGAATTCAGGGCCTGAAGCCCAGCACTGAACATCCCTGACACACAAGAGAATTCAGGGTCTGAAACCCAGCACTGAACATCCCTGACACACAAACAACTCAGAGCCTGAAACCCAGCACTGAACATCCCTGACTACCACCAGCTCTGGCTGCCTGGGAGTAAGGGCCATGTCCGTGGTCCCCCACAGGGAAATTCAGCTCCTCTGAGTCTTCCTTCTTGAAAGTGGACACTGATGTAAATCACCCATGAGGTCAAGGGCAAAGGTACCAACAGGCTTGGGCTGAGTCATTCCCCTTAGGACAGTCAGGGGAAAGGAAGGAGGAAAGGCTTCAGGCTGAGGAGCACAGGAGCCTTGTTGGGGCTCTGCCCCTGGCACATCAAATACCCCCACAGCAGGAGACTTTCCTCTTTTCCACTGAGGCTTTCCAGCTCCAAGTTCTCCCTCTCAGGGAGCAGCCAGGGAGTTTTTTTCTGCTGTCTCCACTCTGCCTCCTCCCAGTCCCTCGTGGTTTCTCATTCCCGTCAGAGCATCCTCACTCTCTGCTGATCCCTGTGCTAAACAAACCTCACATCCTCGCTGCTTTGACCTTGATTTTCCAGCACCACCAGGGTCAGATCTGCAGGCCGCCAGATATGTAAGCAGCCAATTATCACCCCAGGGCTCAGTCACTGTCCTCAGCCTTTGCCAGGCCCCATTAGAGGGGAAAGAGCTCGGAGATGGAAGAGGCAGGCTGGAGGAACAGCCAGCTGGAGTTAACAAACCATGGAGACAGGAGGCACAGCCCCCAGGGATCTCCCCTGTGTGTTTGGTGCAGGTAAAAGATTGCAGAGGCTTCACACCAGGAATACAGAGCTACTGGAAGTGATTTTACAGCTATTGCTGGCCTAATAGCCTGAAAAGTCATTATTTTGCAGAGGGGGAGGGTGGGAAGGAGGGACAGGGCTCGTTGCACCATACATGTGCAAACACACACACGTGTGCTCGCACACCCACAGCCCAACAGCTCCGAGTGCACAAAAGCCCTCTCTCTAGTTAAATCTAGTAGCTAAAAAAAAAAGGAAAATTCATAAAAAGGCCAGAAAATCTGGCAGACATCAATCCACACTGCACAGCCCTTGTGAGCCCTGTGCCAGCAGTGAGCTGATTATTGGAGACTGCAGCCAGAAGTCCAGCCCCTAACTCCAACCATCCCTTTACCTGTCTTAAACCCTGTCTTTCTTATGTTGGACCCCAGGCACAGAGCCCTGAGGATCTCCACCTTCCCTGCACATTCTTCACCATCCTGAGCATCAGACAACACAACTGCACTTTCTCTTAGAGATTTATTCCTGGCTCCAAGGCTCCTGCTAGAACCAGGGCACTTGGGTTGGTGAAAGAAATCAAAGAAGAGTCTGTGAAGGGAAAATGGGAAAATTCTCATCAAAGCCTGCAGGTGATCACCACTAAAGTCAGGGACACAGACACTATCTCTGCTTGGAAAGCTCCCCAAGTTTCCAACTGCAGGGAATTTGAGGAATGTACCACCCATTCCCTCAGTTCTGCTCCTCTCTGCTGGCATCAGCCACAAGCCCCACCTGGACCTGGGGTGCTGGCATGGGTGGAGTTTCCTTCTGACTGAATGATGGGCATTCCTATATTCACAATGTTTTTTGGGGGGTCTGTGAGGTGAGAACCTGACTAACAGTCCAGCTGGGATCGCCTCTGGGAGCTGCCTGTGAGCCGTGAGCTCCTCTGCAAGGCAAAAAGGAGGGGAACAAGTGACAGAGGGGGCTCCAGGACCACATGTGAGTCTCAAAATGCTCACCACAACCCAGAGTCCACAAACACACCCATCACCTCCACAACAGGATCACCTCTTCCTGAATGTCTGTCCTGGACACACACACCCCTCAGACCCCCAGATGCTCAGCTCAGCTCCCTTGTCCTCCTTTAACCCAACACACGTGGGAGCTCCCAGGGCCCAGCACTCTCAGGCTGCACATTAATCCTTCTTCTTCCTGGAAGGCTTCACTCACTGGGCTTGGCTCTGCAGAGCTGCTATTAAAACATCAGCATGATGCTTCCCGAAGGTCAACTACCAAGGGACCCATTCTGGCAGCTGTTTGTTTGTTTGTCTGAACATTATCTAGGGCTGGCTGTTTATTTACATCCATTGAAGTATCAGACAATAAATATCCTCTCCCAGTAGCAAACAGATGCTTGCACTCGAATGTTCTGGCTCGTGCTGGCTTCAAAACGAGCTCCTTAATGAGCAAATAACACTATTAATCTTTAAAGACACAGGCTCTGGCCTTCTCTGAGCTCCCACCCTGGCCATGGCTGGACCCACAGGCACCCTGGCAAGCAGCCCACGGGTCTGGTAGATGAAAGAAGGTAAAAGATACCTTCCATCACTCGGCTGGTGCTTTTCAGCGTTATCTGGGCCTCCCCAGCTGCTCAGGGATCCACGGGAGGCTGATGCTCGAGGACAGTTTCCCCAGCAAGTTGGTGGCAGATGCCTCAATCACACTTCTAAGAGGGACATGGAGGTTGCTATCACATTGTTATCAAAGAGAGGGACGCAATAACCCTCTCCAAATCATGGGGATGGACTCAAAATTGTCAAGGGAAGAGCAGTGGGATTGGAGGACTAAAGGAATTGGTGGTAGTCAGCACTTGGTGCCTTTGCTGGAGGATAAATAATGATTATGGTAAAAAAGAAAGTATCTTTAAACCCAGCAGAGCAACAGAAACACCTGCCTTTCAGAGAGGGCCACATACCTCTGTTAGCACCTCTATTCTTTCCTATAAAGTGACATTTTCTGCTGAAATCCATCCACACAGATGTACTCCAGGAGCTTTACTCCAGGCCCATCAAAGCCTGATCCTGTAGACTGAATCAGTGTTTGGAGCATGTTAACATCATCCAGTTTTGGTTTATTCAAGAAAAAGGCACTGGCACAGGTTGTTCAGAGAGGTTTTTTTATGCCCCATCCTTGGAAGTGTTCAAGGCTAGGTTGGATGGGGCTTGGAGCCTGATCTAGTGCAAAGTGTCCTTTCAAAATTATCTTCAGACTCACTTCAGAAACACACTTCTAACCTAATCTCCTGCTACAACCTCTCTTCTATTTT